GGAGAGGGGAGAGAGGAAGAAATTCGGGTGCAAAACCGCTCCATCCTCGCCCGAGGAAGAGCAGGGTGACAGGACTTGTACCCAGCCGGCAGGCAGGGCCAGGCTGGCCCGGGCCTTCCCTGCACACCGCGGTCCTGCTCTTATTTTGATGGATTTAAGGCTCCCTTTCAGGCACCGGTATTAATGACGCCTTCTCCCTCTCTCTCTCTCTCCCCTGTTTTTCTCTCCCCTTGCCCCCCCCTCCCGCCAGGTCCCTACGCGGTTCTAACCAAGGACACGCTGCCCCAGACGTACAAGAGGAAACGCTCCTGGTCCAGGGCTGTTTTTTCCAACCTGCAGAGGAAAGGTTTAGAAAAACGGTTCGAAATCCAGAAATACGTCACTAAACCGGACAGAAAGCAACTGGCGGCGATGCTGGGGCTGACAGATGCTCAAGTAAGAACGGCTTCGGTTTTATTTCAATTCTTACTTCCAGTTTGGAGGGATACCGGGGGGGAGAGGGGGGTGGGTGGTGGTGAAGGCGGTTGCGAAGCGTTTTCCCTTCCTTAATCTTTGGCGGGGCCGGCTGAGGAGCGGGACCTCGCCCCGAGCACCTCCTGCGCGCAGGTTCCGCGGCCCGGCGCGAAACTTTCGCCTTTGTTTTGGCCAGCGCGGAGCAGGCCGGGCGGAGAGGCGAGGGGGCCGGGGCGGGCCAGCAGCGTGCGCTTTATTGAAGTGCAACTCGCTGCAGGAGGCAGTTTAGGTCAAAGGAAGTAGTAGCGAGCACACTATTTTTAATGTCCTTTTTTTTTTTTTTTTTTCTAAATCTCTCCCCGCGTTGTGAAATCCTTAGTTCTGGGGAAGCGAAAACTCTTCTTCAAACGGAATCATTAAACGCCACTCTGTAATGATTCCACTATTGAGGGCCCGCAGCTCACAGAATTGTATAACGCTGTGGTTTCTTGAGCAAGGTTTGGTTTCCTGGAAGAAGTAGAAGGAGAGGGGGAAAAAAAAAAAAATACAGAGCAGACGGGGAGGGTGGCGTTTGGTATTTAAACACAAGAACTAGAAGAAGGAAAAAATATATAAAGCCACCTTAGTCGCGTAAGAGTGGGGGCAGAGGGATGTGAGGACGCTGCCTCCTTTTCTCCCCGCGGTGCGGTGCGCGGTGCGGTGCGCGGTGCGGTGCGCGGCCGGGGCCGTGCCTCCCGTCTAAGGGCGGCGCTGCCGCAGGTGAAGGTCTGGTTCCAGAACCGGCGGATGAAGTGGCGGCACTCCAAGGAGGCACAGGCCCAGAAGGACAAGGAGCCGCCGCCGGAACCGGAGCCGGAGGGCCAGCGAGCCAGCGGGCCGCCCGCCGCCGCCGCCGGGGAGCCCGAGCGCAGCCCCAGCCGCTCCGAAGGCGACAGCGACAGCAGCGACGCCGATTCCCTCGACATGGCCCCCAGCGACACGGAACGGACTGAGGGCGCCGAGCGGAGCCTGCCCGCCGCCGCCGGGCTCGGCAAATCCTCCGGCAGCACCGGCCTCCCCTCCCCGCCGCCCGCCGCCGCCGCCGCCAGCCCCGACCCGCGGAGCGGCCTATAGACGGGGCGGCCCCGCCGCGCCCGCCCCGGGGACATGAGCGCTAATTTATCTCCCTTTCTTCGCCCCGGGAGCGCGGAAAGGGCGACCCGGCACCGGCCCGGTCCCGCCCGCGGCCAGCGACCGGCCCGGCCCGGGGAGAGGAGCCGAGGACGCGGGCGGAGAAGTGACCCCCGGCCCCGGGACGGCTGTGCGGGAGGCGGCCGCCGTTCCCTTCAGGCTGCTCGCAGGAGAGCGGGATTTCTCTATTATTATTTTTTTTTTTAATTTTATTTTATTCTCCGTCTCCCGCCCCTTGTCCTCTCCAGGAAAATCTGAGCGAGGGACTCCGAGAACGTGCTCCGAAATCCCTCTCTTCCCCCCCCGCCCCCCAAGCCCCCAAGCAATTTACAATGTGAAGTATTTTTGCCAAACGTCCTCATCGGTTGCAACGTGTTGCTTCGAATAATCCGGCCAAGAAATACTGCACTGACAAAATATATAAATATATATATATCTATCTCCTGTAAATAAAATGTTTGCTATGGTTTGTAGCCACGTCAGTCTGTTGACCGGGGGCTGATGAGGCTGCCCCCCGCTTCCTTCGCCCCGCCACCCCTCGCCTTGAAAGCCTCCCGCGGAAGCCTTCTCCTTTTTTGTTTTTGGGGCGGACTGTTTTTTTTTTTATCTTGTTTGTTTATTTGTTTGCTTTGATTTTTGCTTGCGTTGTTTTTTTTTTTTTTCCTGCTTTCCCCCTCTCCTTTTCTAATGGAGGAGGCGATGACAAGGGCCGGATTTGATTCCCCAAAATTGTGCCCCCCCGGTGAGAAAGCTGCCAATGGCATCTGTAGATGCGCAGGGGCGCGCATACGCCCGCGTATCTGGTGCGGTGGCTTTTGACGCAAGGCGGGACCGGACCTTCCGACCCCCCGGGACCTCCAGGGGCGCTGCCAAGGGTCGGCGGGGCCGTTTTTTGGGGTGGAAGGGGGTGTTTGCTGTGCGTTGCTGCTGTGGCCCCGATTTTCGTGTACAACCTCCCCAAGTCCCCCGCTTCGGGGTGGGGAGGTAGTGACGTCACGGCGTGACGGTGCAGCTCGGGGGGGGGGGACGGCGCCGTGACGTCACGCAGGCGCTGTGCTCGGCGCGGGGGCGGTGTGGGAGCGCGGAGTCCTGCGGGGCTGCGGCGGGAGGGGGGGGGGGTCACGGCGGCCTCTCCCCCCCCCCCAGCGGGGGCGGCGGGGCTGGGGGCCCGCCCCCCCGGGGGGGGGGGAGGGGGCTCACAGCCAGGGTGACGGCAGCCCCCCGTTCCCGGTGCCATGCCGGGCATACCCGCGGGATGCGGGGCGTAGCGGTGACCCGGTTAACGTGCCGGTTGGCGGCCCCGCCGTCGTGCCTCCCAAGTGACGTGGTCGTATTTATAGCCCCTTCCCGGCCACCACGGCCCCACTGGCAGTTGTTCAGAGTTGTCATTGAGAAAAGCGGGTGCCGCTCGGCACCGAGGGGACGGGGATGGGACAAGGGCTGCAGCGTCCATCCCCGCGGCATCCAGGCAGCGCCTGCCCCCACAGCCCCTGCTCCGACACCCTTCCTGGGGGGGTGGGATTATCCACCAGCCTCCGGGCAGAAACTGCACTGGGCCGGGGCTGCCGGTGGCGGGAGAGGCAGAGCCGGCGTGGCGTGCCTGCCTGCGTGCCGGGGCGCTCCGGCCAGCAGATCCTGCTGCCATAAATCAGGCAGGAATGTGCCGGGCTGTCGGGCGCGGGGTGGGGTCCCAACAAAAGCTGCCCCGGCAGAACCGGGTGCTGGAGGAGCAGCCGTGCCAGGGTGTGGGGTGTGGGGTGTGGGGGGAGTTTGGGGGGGAGGACACGCTCCTCGGGGCCACCTCTGCTGGCAGGGGGGGGACTCCGCCAGGAGCAAACACCTGAGAAAGGTGATGGAGGAGGAAATGCCGACAGCATCCCCAAGCCCTGGGGGAAATGGACCTGGGGCAAACGGCAAGGCAAGAGGCCGGCTCGCTGGGCCGAGAGGGGACGGGGGAAGGGGTAAATAAGGTGTCACCGGGAGGGCAGAGGCTCCGCCGGAGTCACGCCGGGCAAGAGGATGTCCAGAGGGGGCCGTCCCCGACTGAATCCTGCTGGGACAGCCTGGCAAGCGGCATCGGGGGGAAGGATCTGGAAGGGTTCTGCCTGTGAGACACTGTCAGGGAGAAAACAGGGTTGGGGGGGGTGTCATGGCTTTTCGGGGCGCGGAGCGGGCCCTGCAGTTCGCTTCTAGCCCCAGAAAGCGGCTGTCCCTCGGGCCGCTGCTGAGCCCATGGGCGCAGGGCTCATAAACTCCCCCAAGAGCAAGGGAAGCCGCCGGGCTCCCCAAGTCCAGCGCAACACGACTCTCTCTCCCCCGATAAACCACCGCGGTGCGGCTCACGGACACGCAGGAATTCGTTTGCCTATTGGTTTTTTTTGTTGATTTTTTTTTTCTTTCCCTAAAGACCAAGCCGTGCGGGAGAGCGGGGTTTGGGATGGCTCTTGTCAGATGAGAAAGGAAAAGCGCGTCGGGAAAAGAGTTTCTCTTCCCTTGGGTTAGAGGAATCTGCGCTTCC